CCCCCCCCCCCAAATACACTAAATATCCATACTCACGGATATCAGTCAATCTAAACATACTGACTTAAAAAAATCATGTCAAAGGACAACTTAATTTCCCAGTACTACATACCAACATTCCCCGCAGCAAATGCATGTACGACTACATATAGGCCGGACACGTAAGAACCACGAAGATATTCCAACCATACTGTAGCAATACTAACATACCAACTACATATAATATATAATATGAAAAATCACACAAACATGAACACCATCCTATTGTTTTTCAATATATTCACGTTTTAAACGAGGGAAAATCAGTAAATAGGTTACACATGGATAGAAAACATAGAAACATATGATATTTGAACCTGGGAAAAACATTTATTTCACGACAAACCTCAACCAACATTGATACACTTGTCCCATTGCTGTACCATTGCGTCGAAACCTGCAGCATAGAAGTATTTTTACTGTTGTCTCAGCCACTTCCCCGGGCATTATCTGCGACTTTCAAACGTCCTTGAGAGAATTTCTCGACCCAGTTGTGAACTGCTTTAAGCGACAAACACTTCCCACCGTAAACAGGAAAATTTCTTTATAAATACCCTTTGCTTTGAGTCATTTTCCCTACAGAAATGCACAACAGAACGCTAATCTTCGCTAGTACACTCCTCAAGCATGGTCGCCATTTTGGACAGAGAGACCAGCCTCTGAACGTGCGCGTCTCCTACCAACACTTTTTTTATTTTGAACAAAATATACACTCTCTCTCTCTCTATATATATATATATATACACATACATACATACATACATACAAAAATGGCCTAGGAAATTCCCATCCGGACCTCTGTAGCGCATGTCATGAAGCTGGACTGTGCTGCTACCTAGTGATATGCATGGAAAACCTATCACGCCCAATGCAGCTGTTTTACTTCTATCTGTGATCTATTTAGTACCTCTCCATCGTAAAAAAATAAAAAAATAAAGCTATCCCTGTAACAGACCGTGAGACGTTGAGGGTCCCACATTATCTAGACGATCGGCTCAAAGATGGCGGTAAGGTTGTCAGCCTTACGCGCCGGCCGCGCTTTACTCCCCAGGAAAATTATTTAATTAATTCCTGGTACTCATTTCTGTTAGAGGCTGAGTCGACCCCAGGGCCATAGTGCAGCTGGAAGGATTAGGTCAACTGAAAAAATCTAATTACCTCAATGGGACTTGAACCCGCGACCTTCCGGCTTGTAGCATAGTGCCTCAACCAACTACGCGTGCCCCCGACTCTCCCTCGTATGTTATATATATATACATATTTCATGTATACACATCGTACCTTCGTTGAAATTCTTGTAACTATACGACCAAAATGGGTCTATTTTCATTACATATTCAGCAATATATCACTATATATTTATGTATATATGTACACATTTGAACATGGTCAACTGCACCCGAAACATGTGGCATTCGATATAATAAACTGAATGATCTATTGACATATTCACTTCAGTACACAACAATCAACATGTTAGTGACGGCATAGAAACATGTAAATCCATATACACAACAGGATGCATAGCATAAAAATACATAATGTAAGTCATTAATGCAAATATTAAACAAGAAAATACCCTTAAACTGACCCGTGATGTACGCATGACTACACAACAGAAGGTGACGAAAGTACTCCAGAAAAAATTACACAAATATGTCTGTTATTTAAATAACTGAGAAATCAGTTTCATTAACTGGATGATAATGCATAATTATTAACTTTATGAAGAAGCGATGTGTGCGGAATCACGTAAAAGGCGTTTCTAAAATCAGACGAATAGAATCAATTTGACCTTTTGGACAAAGTAAAGGGAGAGAAGGAGTTAAATGAGTGTATGCACTGCAAGACGGATTAAATAAATCATGGACTTAAATCAGTGCAACAGGACGCTAAAATATAACAAAAGTAAAACAGTAACAAAGTCAAGGAAAGTAAACTTGTAACCGGCCGCGCCATAGCTCAAGCGGTTAGTCGCTGGCTTCCCACCGCGGTTCGATCCCGGGTCTGGTCAAGTGGGACTTGTGGTGGACAAAGTGGCGCTGGGGCAGGTTTTCTCCGAGTACTTCGGTTTCCCCTGCCAATCTTCATTCCACCAATTGCTCCACAATCACCCTCACCTATCACCTGGGGCTGGTACAATAGGCCAGAAGTGGCCGCAGTACAAGGGACTTAGTCCCACCCCACTAGCAATAAAAAAAACTTGTAACCGCTGATTTCGATGCTGGGAAGAATTTAATTCCGAATTTACAAAGTGAGAAACGTGGTCAAGTAAGATAAAGTAAGAAACTTAGGAAAAATTTGTAAGAGCACTTATGGACCTGTAGTTACAAACAGAGTAACTTTTATCTGTTTCTGAAAACAGGGGTAATCGCTGCTTCCTTCACAAGTTAGTAAATGTCTTCCGAGGCAAGCTGAGATTAAAATATAAACCAGAGAACAGGCACAAACATTGCATAACAACTGTTTATAACAAAACTCGGTGTACAATCGGTTCCGAATGATTTCGATGGCCTCAAACGTTTTGTAGCATTTTGAACATTGGAGTTAGAAATATGAGACTGTATTTATTAATGGAAGCAAAGGTTCCATAAATGTTTCGAGAAGGCCTCAGCAATATCACAATAGATTTTTGGAAGTACCATCGATATCAAGATCTATTAAATCAGTATTATCTTTCTTAAATGTTGGCACATCACTCACTTACTCACTCATGGAGCTGAGCCCTTCTTGAGAAGCCGGCAATTGTACAGCTACTCAAGAATTTCCCAGCATTTTATGGAACCCGAAGGTTCATTACCGTGTTCACAAGAGCCCTCCACTGGCCCCTATCCTGAACCAGATCAATCCAATCCATACTATCGAATTCCATCTCTCTAAGATCCGTTTTAATATTGTTCACCCACCTATGCTTTGGTCTTCCCAGTGGTTTCTTTCCTTCTGACTTTCCCACCAATATCCTATATGCATTCCTCTTCTCATTCGTGCTACATGCCCTGCCCACCTCATCCTCCTTGACTTCATTTTGTTATACTTGGAGAATAAATGTTGGTACATACTTCCAAAATAATATCAGTAATAATAATAATAATTTGTTTACGCGGTATTGATAAGGCTAATTAATTTTACATTCATCTGAACTTAAAAATTTAAACCTTCAAGCTGACAGAATATCAGTTACAATAAATTTGCACCAGCCAGTACCAAATCTTGCCTTCTTTGGTTGCCCGAATGACGTCGACATCAATGAAACCTATAGAGCTATACTAGTTACACCAAGGTACTCACAGTGTAGAACAGGGAGAACTGCTGGTCGGTAAGTGCACTGAAGAGCGTCCAGGTTAGTAGTGATTTGCCGCAGCGCTGTTACCGCGCTTCATGCCTCCCCTGATATCACTTCATTGGACCTTGACTAGTCGTACTGGCTACTACATGCAAGAATGACATAGAGTAATCTATAAAACGCAGATAATTCGTACATAACCCCTGAGTCACCTTCCGAAGTGGTATTATACCACTGTATAATGGGTTCGTGTCACGAGGCAAAGCTTTCGGGAGGTACTGGAATGCAAAATGTGGGAAATCGCGTATGTTGTAACAAAGTAGAAGGTAAACGTTCTATATAAAAATATTCAACAGGAAGTTAATATCGGAAATATAATCTCCTTGGTTTGCGCTTTTTATCATGCTCCGGCTACAAATATAGTTCTTAAGATACGATTTGAGAGTTTTAAAAATATAACCATAAAAAGTGCTGAAATTGATCTCTTCGTGCAAATTCAGGTTTCTCTTCATTTGGCGTGTATTTGGGTTAATTACATGCAATTATTCGAGCGTTGTTTGAGGAAGCCGCTTTTTCTACCGGTGCATCAGTTACGGACTGGACTTTCTAACTTTTGTTACAATTAATAATAATCATCATCATCATTCATGGAGCTAAGCTAAGCCCTTCTCGAGAAGCCACCAGTTGTGCAGTTACTGTAGAACTTCCCAGCATTTTATGGAACCCGAAGGTTCATTACCGTGTTCACAAGAGCCATCCACTGGTCCCTATCCTGAGCCAGATCAGTCAAATCCATACCATCCCATCCTATCTCTCTAAGATCCATTTTAATATTGTTGACTCACCTACGCCTTGGTCTTCCCAGTGATCTCTTTCCATCTGGCTTTCCCACCAATATCCTACATGCATTCCTCTTCTATCCTCTTCGTGCTACATTCCCTGCCCAACTTATCCCGCTTGACTTGATCATCCTAATTATACTTGGAGAGGAGTACAAGTTATGAAGCGCCTCATTATGCAGTTTTCTCCAAGCTCCTGTCACTTCATCTCTCTTCGGTCCAAATATTCTCTTCGGCACCGTGTTCTCGAACACCCTCAGTCTATTTGTTACAGTTAATAACCAATTAATTAACTAGCTCACCATGGAGACGTATGAAGCAGCGGAGGTGTGGCTCTTCACATTCTTAGTCTCTTCGCTAGCTGGAGATGAACACTCACTTCCCGCTCAGGCCACTCATCCCCGATACTCATTGGATGTGAGGAGAGTGGAAAGATCCCAGAACCGTGAGTTGATGCGGATATGACAGCGAAGAGACAGTTACCTGCCGTACAGACTGAGCTATTTCAGCTTGAGTAAATTATGAATTCATCAGAAGACTCGCTGGTTTTAAACGCTAATTAACACTAATATAGTAGCTGAAGGTTTATTACTGATAAATCAGTCATCGGACACGGTTCTGCTGAGCTACTTAAATCTAATTCAGATCCTTTCATCTCTTCTTCTGGTCCTTCATCAACCACTTTACAAGAGGTGTCGAAACACTTTCATATTGAAAGGGTTTCTAGTCGAATCTTTTTACAGGTACACTCAACGGAAAGCTTAGCGCAAGTATAGCCTTTCGAAGAACTGGTTTCTCCTTATTCTACGTCATTCTTTCTCATAAATTAGTGATGTTAGCAAATGGACAAGGACATATGAAGTATCGAACGTCCTGGTTGTTATTCGGCATTTCGTCGGTTCGAATCTGCCATTGAAACCGGCTATGAATTTCTGTGTTTTTCCTTATTCTCTCCAGACAAATGCCGGGATAGCACCTCGATTACGACACGGCCTTTCCCTTCAAATATTTTTCAGTTCAACTTTCTACATTCGTCAGCCCATCATTCGATGCCGTTTAGTCTATCTACTGATGACGTCACAATGTAACTACCCGAAAAAATAAAACACTTGAAATGCTGTGGCCACATGTCAGTTCACAAAGGCTCAAGGCAAGCAGATTTCCAACTTTAAATTTGTAACTTATTTTTCATTTCTAATTTGACTCCTATGAGAAGATAATTTGAATCAGATTGCTGATGAATGACTGATTTCCTTAAGAGGCCAGTGAAGATTTTCAATAGTATTCCTTGAATCCTTGAATCGTGTACGCCAGCAACTTTGACCAGTTTACAGCAGACACCAGTTTGCCTACAAAACGCATGTCATGGAGCCGTCGAAGGACATCGAATTTAGTTTTAGATAAATATCGAAAATTTCTCCCACGTTGAGTTGCCTGACTTGTATTTTGCGGAACTTCTCTTCGAAGTCCTGGATCTGTTATTCTGAATTGTTTAGTACGGGTCTGTCCTATCGGGGCATGCGACCCGACGAATGATTTGTTCGGCCCGTGAGAATACCTGTTCATCCACCGGAATATGTGTTAAGGCTTTCCTCCTCTCAGGCGGCGAATCGTGTAGAAAAGTTTTTACGAAAAGTGGGTAGTGCATATTCCGTGTAATTCTCAACATAATTCAAACGATGCCCAACAAATAACAAAGAAAATTATGGAATTTATATGGTTCCATGGTTGTACTCCTATGTAATACCGGTACAATATAGGTAACCTTTAGTAGCTAATTTTACGAACTGTATACTGGACAGAATTAGATTTAAATAAAGTTTTTGAAAGTTTCGGGTCCAATTCTTGTTCATGTGCTTGTGCTTTGTAGATATTATGGCATGCAGACCTGTTGCTAGGCAACGACCTCGAAATAAGCAAGTATACACCAGCTGTTGCTAAGTAATGGCTCCGCAAAGAAGCACATTTTCATGGCAACAAGAGAATACAATAATAATAGAAAGCGGGGTTTTTTCCACGCGGTCCGTACCGAGGCGTTATAAGCAGAACAAGTTAGGAGCCTATTCATAGGCCCGTGTGGAGGCGGGTTCGAATACCTCCACCGTGACCCTACGAGTCGTAGGAGGCGACGAAAAGGGAAAGTCTCAAATTTGAGACAGTAATATATGGTCTCGAGTACCAAGGGTCTCGGACCCGAGAAAGACTGTGCTGGCAAGGACCAGCAGCATATAAAAAAGACAGATACATCCTCTCGTCAGAGAGGGCGCCCAGAAAAAACAAGACCGAAACTGTCAAACAGTAATAAAAATCTGGTCGCAAGCCCCAGATGGGTGCTTTAGGCCAAGACAGACTGGCCGACTGACCGTCGGTAGTAAAATGAGACGCCGACTCAGCCTATTCATAACAGACAGACGTGTCCTCTCGTCAGAGAGGATGTTACATAAGGGCTATCGCCGCAAGGTTTCACTTGCCAAAAAAATCTATGATCGTCAGCCTCAAGGGGCTTGGTGCCAAGATGAACTGATAGGCGGTAAACCGCCAGTCGTGAAGTAACTCTGACTGAGTGAAGAGTTGGTTGGTGGGTTAGTGAATTAGTTAGAGGTCTGCTGTGGTTCATTCGTTGAGCTGTTGCTGTTAGGATCTGGTAGCTGACAGTTTGGGAACCCAGAGGAAGGGGCACGTCCCCCATTGGAAACTGCTACCAAGCAACGGCAATAAAGACGTGACTGTGGGCATGTGTGTGTGTGTGTAACAGTGTACTGTAAAGTGTCATCACACATGGCATCAAACAGTCCAATAAATCCGATCAACAATCCAAAATCCCCCAACAGTCATACTCTAATATCGTGAAAATATGATAACACAAGCCAGATATTTTTATCCGTAAGGGAAAAGTTGTATTCTGTGTGATGCTGGACAGGTGATGGTATGTAAGGTACAATGTGACATCTTTCTCATCTGAAGTTGGAAAGCGCATTTCTCTCAGCTCATCTGTGAGGATGTTGGGATAGTGTCCACCTCCCCTCCCCCTCTTTAATCATTTAACGTTCTTCAAATCCGATTTATTGAGCACAGTTAAATAAGAAACACAGGTGTACCTGTTAATTACACTAAGGGGATATTTTTAAAGAATCTTTCAAAAATTTTATACTTCATTGTATGGTGGGCAGATTCAGTCGAGAGTCAAAGAAACTTGTGTGTGCCGCTTTCTAGCTATATGCTTAATTACATTCACAAACTCTCTCCCTCTAGCTGTATAGCCCTTTGGACCTTGGCCGCCTTTTCAGTTTCTTAATCTCGTACATAGTCAGTAGGGCTCCTTGGACGGGGAATCACCCCGTCACAAGGCCACTACCTATACACAGAACAACACACACAGACATCCATACCTTAAGTGGGATTCAAAACCCATGATCCCAGCATTTGAGCAAGAGAAGACAGTTCATGCCTTAGACCGCAGAGTCACAGTGCTTGGCATGATATCTATATTGTGAATGGAAATATACGTCATGCAGGCATCAATGAAATATGACTTTCCTACTTGAACCCCATCTTTGGAGAAGTCTCCGGAAATACTGTTAATATAGTGTCTCTATAACACCAGGGAGTTTAGACATGTATGTAAATGATGCATAACATAATACTCTTTGTTTATATGCCATTTGAACAGTGACTGATGGATAGTTATGACAAGTGAATTGCACAGTTTCACTACTCCTGTGCTATACCGTTGGCTCATTGTAAACCAGGTTTTACATCGTCACATGCAATGTCTAGCCCGTGGCTATATCCATGAAAGAATTACAAGACCTAGTATAGGCCTACTGCACACAAGTACTTGTCTACATATTAGTAGCTGTTCAAACATCTTTAATGTTATACAAAGAGGTAAACATTACTGTTGACCAACATCAAAGCACAGAGATTGCTGTTTGATATATTTTCTGTTGATTCATTCCCAGCAAGTCTCACTGTCATGACCATGGTATTTTTGACCCGATGCATCAAAATAAGTAATTTATATAAAGAATGATCTCTGAATTTATTGTCGTGACCCAAGATGTGTGTGGGGTGACTGAATTATGTTGGCTGAGTGGTAGTATAATAATTCAGTTGGCCAGCTGAACATGATTCCAACCACAAAGAGCGAATGAACACTCACTATAGAATATAGATTATTTATTGAGCTGTGTATATGTTCCATACAAAACTGGCAGACATAAGTGTAAATATTAATTAATACATTAGGTCTTGATAACTTAAACATACTGTAGCATGTAGAGAACTGTTACTAGTTTACAGCACAGCAGTGATTGAACACACAACAGAGGAACACGTCACGTCTGCAACAGCATACATACATACATACATACATACATACATACATACCGTACATACATACAGATACATTTCATTACTCCAACATTCGTCCATCAACAGGTGAATCCAGAGATATGTGTTGCACAATGCAACTTGAGAAAAAGAGACATTAAACAATAATATATACACAGTACATAAACTACAAAGTACAGATTCTACGAGTAGTATAACAAAATATGAATACAAGTGCTTAAAAAGAAGACAATACAAAAGACTGCAAAAGTTAAACATGACTAAAAAAACTTTTATAATTTGATATAAACTCTTTTTTAGAATAAATGACATGTAAGAAGATAATACCTTAAAGCAGACTTAAAGAATTGCATATCATTTTTAACCTAGATATACTAGGTGGCAATTTATTGAATACTTTAATATCAGAATATGCAATAGCAGGTATGCGTAATTGATTCTTATGTCTTGTATTAATGTCATGAACAGAAGAGTTACTTTGAAGGTAATGCATGTAAAGTAAGGTAAAGGTAAAGTTGTCCCTGTGCTCAGTGAATTAAGCACTATGCCATGAAGGCGTATGTGGGAGTGGATGTATAGATTAATATTTTATTGACCTTGGCACTAGTTGGAGATGAGTGGTCAGCTTCTCCATCCCTGCTGCTTTACCCCCAGGGAAAGACCCCCGGTACCCATTAACTTTGTTAAAGGTCACTTCAGAGAATGCTCACTGTTACTCTTAAGATTTTAATCACAATTTTCCTTACGTTGAAATTCATCAGGATACAATTTGAATTCTGTTTTACACCAAAGTCAACATGTCACTGAGAGGCATGTTTATAACTGCAGCAAGTAGTGGCTGTATCTCGTTCAGTTTCACAATGAATATCCGCACTTGATCAGTCACACCAACCTCTGCAATGCATTCTGCTACAGTTTCAAATTTGTATGTTAAACCAGGCACTAACATTGGAACCTGTAAATAGGCATAGAAACATGACAAGTTGATCATTTCAAACTTCTTTAGTTACAACTCTTATTTTAAAATATTATAAAATCCAAATTATACTTGTCTGGATATTCTTTGCAGAGCAAAATGAGTACTATAGAATTTCCACAGTGACAGATGTTTCTGTTTTCATGCCTGTGACAAAATATCTGTGATGCTCTAGCCAAGCATAGATTTGGATTTCACTAAAGTGAAAAATATTTTAGACAAATGCTTATAGAATTTAATGACATAAATATTCGTAAACATTTCAGAATTTCAGTTCAGAATCAATTAACTTCAGGAAAATATGTATTTTGAAAATATTTAGCTTGTATGAGATTTCAGGTTTTCATGGCTGTGAATATGAAGATTGCTGTATTCTGGAATGTGATGCCAAGTAGACTAGTAGAAGAATTGACTCTTCTATCCTCCAGGCACCAGGTTCCTCTGAAACAGTGGTACTTTTTGACCAGACTACACGGCATCACATCCCGAAAGACAATAATCTTCACACAGAGCCTGCTTTCATTATTTTATAGTTTTTAATAATATTTCAACTAAGTGACAAACTTTTATGGAACACTGTGTGCATATGTTTGTGTATGTGCATGTAATGCCACTAGAGGACAGCCATGTCCATATATCTTAATTCCATACCAAATTACCTTCTGAGTTTTATCAGCCTATTGATTTAATAAACTTCTTAAATTTTTAATTCCCACAGCTACCTCAAAAATAGGAACTCTTTTGGGTTTCTTTCTAAATGTTCTTCTAGCAGTGATTTGTAAATTTATTAAATGTTCAGTATTATTAGTCTTGGCAGCACCTGGATGGACAAGGATAAACCACAAAATAACCTTAGGATATCCCATCATCCAGTCATGATTTATTACCACATGTGCATGTTCAGACTCTTGGGGAAAACCATTTCTTTTACATTTTCATCTCTCACTTTACATCTGCCTTTCTCTTAACCCTTTTGTTCTTCTATGCCATTCCTTCCTTTGTGCTGCAGTCATTTACTGCCCCTGTTATTTGTGTGTGCAATCATTATTCCTCTCCCCCATTTGCCCCATTTGTTTACATTAAGACAGTTTCAGTAATTATTAAAAAAAAAGTTGAGTTGTCCTTGTGATTAATTAAGCACCATAAAAACCAGTGAGGGGGGAGTGCAGGTATAGCTCCACCATTCTTGACCTTGGCACTAGATGGAGGTGAGTGCACAGCTTCATGCCCCAGCCACTTTACCTCTGGGAAAAATGCTAGGAGATTGGGCAGGGCCCAGAGCAGGTCTGAATGCTGTGAAGAAAAAAAAACACTTGCCCCTGTCAGGAATCAAAATATCCTTCAAAGGCTTGTATAATTATAGACGATGCTAAAGTATGTAGATGTGTTATTAAATGAACTGTCTATGCTGTCTGATAGTTAATAACATCTGATATACTGTTCTCTCTGAGCACAGATTATAGGACCATGGTGCTTTCCCCAAGGTCCATGCAAGTAAAAAAAACAATGCATTCATGTTAGACTGACTCTTATTATATATACATTTACATTCTTGTATACAATCTGTAAGAGTAAACAGACCTCTATACTCACCTGAATGAAAGGTTTCTCAATTATATACAACTTATCATCACAATGAAAGGTAATTGTAAGATCTTTGACTGGGTTTGAGGAAGACATATTCTCAAGTGTAATATAAATTTTGAATGTTGGACCCAATCCCAAAACCTGAAACAAAACTGCATTAATATAATATGAACAGCAGAAAGAAGAATGTTCATACCATTCAGAAACATAATATATGAAGATTAAGAATATACCTGATTAATTAATAATTACAATTCATTGATTATATAACTGAATTAAGAATGGCTGATTATGCCAACAAAATATGTTCAATATATAAAATTAGTAACAACCATACCTGTCCAGTTTGATTGACAACCTTTCCAAATCAAAAATTAGTAATGAAAAATAATTATGGCATTTGTGCTTGGGTGAACAAAAATTTACAAATTGCTTATTAAAATTATTCATAATTTTCTGGCTCATTTGAATAACTATATTTTGTGAAACCTAAAATTGTAATGAAGTTATAAGAAAAATGGACGGTCATAGGTTCTCAGATACTCAATATCTTATTTAATAATGAACCTCATTCAGCAAAGTCCTTCTTAAACACAGACAGTCACTTAGCTGCTCAGCATATCTCCCCCCACTTTTATGTAACCTGACATCATTATCATGTTCACAACAGCCTGCCGTCGGACCCTAACTTGAGCCAGTTGGATCTAGTGTACACACACTCACCATACTTCTGTAAGATTAATTTCAATACTGTTCTCCCATTTATGCCCAGATCTTTCGTGTGGTCTGTTCCCTTCAAATTAAAATTTCTACCCATTTCTTGCTTGCCATTTCTGCTATTTGGCTTGTCCATCCCATTCTCCTCAATGTGATCAGCAAAATAATACTGGGTGATGGGTGCTAATAATAGAGCTCATTATTTTGTAATTTCCCCATAGTTCTGCTACTTCTTTTTTCTTGGGTCCAAATATTATCGTCATAACTTTGTTCTTAAACACTTAAAACCTACACTAAGTAATCAAGTTTCATAGTTACATAAAACACAAAACTACAGTTTTTTAAATCTTGTTACAGACTTAAATTTTTCCTCAAGTGTCCTGACTTCAAAACAGATCTTTGAAAACCTCAGAAATAACTCCATTTAGACCTGCTCATGAAATTTTGGTCTCTTATACATTTTTCTTCCATGAAAAACAAAGTTATATAGAACTCTAAATTCAGAAATAACCTACTTTTAGACAGACTGACATCAGTCTATCAGGAATTCAGTTGGTTTCCACATAACTCAAGTAAAATGACGTTACTTTAATAAAATATATATCATATACCTATCTGACTATCCAGTGTCATACTCATGGTAATAGCCTTATCTGAAATTAAAGTTTCTTTTGTATTCACACATAACATCTGAAGCATCTTGTTACAGTTGCAATATGGCAAAAAACTCTTATCCCAGATTTTATGATTGTTCATCCAAAGAAGGGGGCAAGCGGTAGCGTAGTTGGTTGAGGGGCTATGCTACAAGCCGGAAGGTCGCGGGTTCAAGTCCCGACGATGTCATTGGATCTTTTCCAATTTACGTAATACTTTCAGCCGCATTATGGCCCTGGCGTCGACTCAGCCTCTAACAGAAATGAGTACCAGGAATTCATTAAATAATTTTCCTGGGGAGTAAAGCGCGGATGGCATGTAAGACTGACAACCTTACTGCCATCTTTGAGCCGATTGTCTAGAAAATGTGAGACCCTCAACATCTCACAACCCTATGGGCCTTCACAGCCTGTTACAGGAATAACTTTACTTACTTTACTCATCCAAAGAACTGTCTAAACCCCTGTGAATTTACTGCAATGTAATTCAGACTGCAGCATACAGACATACATGTAGCAAGTCTGGCTATTATTATTATTGTGTATATACAAAAATACTATACTTTCGTGAGTATTCCATAATTTGTGAGATATGGCTTACATCAAACAAATGTTTTATTGAAAGCATATAGTATCTGAACAGAAGATGTAATAAATACCTGTGCTGACATTTTGAGAGGCTCTTGAGTATTTGTAGAGAAAGGATTGCTGCAACTCTGCAGAGCATTCACACATGCACGTGCTGTGTTCAGTCTCAGCCGAAACAAATCATGTTGAAATGTTTCATGCATTGCTATAAATGTCCATCAAATAAACATAATTACTGGTATAAATTAGCAAGATTTCTGTTCATGCCTTTGTTGGGTAAAGAAATAATTTCTTCATAAGTGAACACTGTAGTAAACTACTGAAGAAAACAAAATAATTTACTCTTAAGTGGGATAGAATAGAACAACAAGGAGACAACCATTGCCTATTTTAAGTTAATGCATGTGCATTTATCTGGTTAGACTGGGCAGGGGACTCACATCAGCTCCATCAAGATTTAATTCAGGGACATTCCAAAATTGAGTCAGAAATAATATGCTCTGAGTAAACTCATTTAATGGACACTGTAATGCATCACTTTATTAATAAAGCAGATTTTGTGCAGAAGTGGCACACAGCAATCTTCCAGATGCAGGTCCCACATAAAACCAGAAACAGAAATACTAGTTAATATTTTTCATTTCATGCATTCTGTTGTGTTATAATATACAACTTCTTTATTACAACCATCACAACACAACTAATATCAACATCTCTGCCAAAATTAGGCACTGATTTTGATATTAGTTGTGTTGTGATGGTTGTAATAAAGAAGTTGTACAAGTTAATATGTTTATAATTGTTTTCAGAAATTTGATAACAGCAGGAGTCAGCATCAATATACAGTATTTCAAAAACTGCTATACCCATCACAAGTGAAAATAATAATAATAATAATAATAATAGATCATTTCACATGGTTTGTGGCAGCTGATAAACTCAATAATGATAAGCATAATTACATAGACTGTTTGAGCTCTTTTAAGGTGCCTCAAATTAAGAAAGGTTTTATGTCAAAACTAAGGGTAATGGAAAATATCTTCTTTCTGATATTTAATGCCCCAAGTATTCCTTCAGTCTCTTGTCAACTTCTGATTCAAAAGCTCCATGTTAGAGATTAAATATCGTATTAGCCCTAATACAAGGCAGGTTTCTGTTCAAATACTGCTTCATAGAAATGAGTGATCACATTAATTTTGGGTCCTTAGGAATAAATATGAAGAATATGATTATAAGCAGTTTGAATTGATAATCCTGTTCAATTTTTGTGAGAATGCCTAGAATTATATTTACGTTATTAAATTTTGAAGTTATTACTTCTTAATAATATAAAAACAAACTCCGTGGCTTTAGTCCACAAGCAAACTATACCAACCGAGCGGCCACTGCTTATTAGCAAAGTTAGCACCAACTTTCGCGGATAGAGGGTGTCACGTGGTCAGTGCAACGAATCTCCATGGCTGCTAATTTCAGTTTTCTAGACCGGGCTTAATAATATAGTACTTTCTACTTATTTTTACTTACAATCCTCAGAAATAATGACAAATTCAAATTAAAAAAAAAAAACTGATTTTTCTCATTGGAAAAAAAGGGGGTTGCCTTATATTCAGGCTTACAGACTATCTCACAGTCAGTCATAATATTCTAAACATAAAGTAAAGTGTGACAAGAAACATAATTAATTTGTGTCATAATAATTCAAGTTAATTAGAAACAAGCTACAATGTTACAAGATCAGTATGAGTATATAATAGGTTTCAATTCATGTCTTGGTAAGAGAAAAAGTTAGTTCCAGTTATATTATCCGGCACCTTGTCTATCATCTAGACTTACTATTAAAATGTAACATTTCAGAAATTGGTTGTTTCCATCTTCAGTTAGTGAAAACAGAACCAGTTTCTGAAACACTGCATTTTTAGAATAAACTATGATGCACCTTCATTACAAACATTCAGAAACAGCACTTAGCACATTGTAAAGGCTGTAACATGTGACTCAATTATTCAGGATAAATGCTGAAGCAATGGGGAAGTAACTGAAGTCACATATTAAAATATATTTTAGACTTTCTTATTAGCTTTTCATTCTTGTTAAAGTAATTTAGAATTGAATGTTGCATTGTTATTGTTGCTAAGTCACTGAAGTTCAGACACATAATTAACCCTGCTTCATATTCAAGATGTCACTGTCTAAAAACTGGATATCCTGAGTTAGGGTTTTCATTGCTTTCCTCAGTCTCTCTATATATATCTCAGGACAATACATCAAATTATACTGCAGCCACTTGTTTCCACATCCATTCCAGTTAATTATTCATTAACCATGTGACCATTCAATGTTATGCTGTCTGACCTTCTGACAGTATCAATAAATAAAACATAAACTCAGCTTCATATTTTAATATTTTAAGATATTCATATTACATTTAAATTTCAGCAGGTGATCACAGTTGACTCAGTATTCATTTCATAAAAAATGTAATATATAGTGACAAGATTCTGAACACAAAACCAGATAATTTGACTGGTGTACAACAAAAGGATGCTTTTGTTTATATTTTGAGACAACCAATAGTGTGGGTTGGATACAAAAACAAGGCATTGCAGAATTCATGTTTAAAAAAAAAACTGTGCTACATTCACATGTCTATAATACAAATAGAGGATTTGACATAGTTTCACAATTACTAGGTAATTATCCAATAATTCTGAGTGTTATATACCATCATCAGAACTCTTTAGAATACTTGGTGTAGTTTCTTAATTTAGCACATGCAGCACATAAGGGAGAGAAATATAAAATTTGGTTAGAAAATTTCAGGGAAGCTATCATTTGGGAGATGTGGGCATGGATTGCAGGATAATCTTAAAGTCAATCTTGAAGAAATATGAAGTGTCTTTCCCCAGTTTATATACCTCAACAAGGAATGATAATATCTATGCAGATTACTTCACCAGGTTCACTCAGAAAGAGAACACATAGTGTCTGTCAAGATTTTTATTATTTGGCTCCATGAACCCAATTATTTCTATAGATATACCATAGACTATAATTTTACTATGTGTTTTAGCCTTTCAGCCATGATCAGGTTTTATTTAACATTAACCTTCAGCACATATGCTGTTCTTCCCTGTATTGGACAATTTTATTTGGAAATAATTTTCTAGTTGCTGTATATTAAAGTAATGCCTGTGGTCTCTTTGTTAAAATTATTATAATTACAAAATTAAAATGTTAAGTTATAGATGTCAAGCTGGGCGTTTCATGTTTTTAGCTCTATGCTGTTTACGGATGTTGAATAATGTGGCCTTTATTTTGCGTTTTGTTGATCAATGGGGGAGATTGGGTCTTCCTTCCTGTGTGTGATTTTATGCTGTTGTTTCTTTTTCTGTTCTTCTGTATACACCACTATGATCTGCGGGTATGGATATTTCTGTGTTCTCTGTTATATTCTGTTATAGGCCATTTTTGTTGTTCTTTTGCTTGTTTCTTAGGCCTGACCTTGTTGTGTAGGGTGCTGCACCACAACAATGATGATACTAAATATGCGAGTTATAACTCCATGACTTACCAACTGCATTTTCTCTTTCTCTTAAAGTTTGTTCCATAAAAAGTTTTGTTTTCTTTGGTACAAGCATTTTTATTTGCTGTGGGGGTACCATTCCTGTTCCGCTCGACTGGGCAGTAAACTGAGCTGTTCTCTTCAAAATTTTCACTAGCAGATGACCATCTGCAATAAAAATAGTTAAATTTAAAAAATGACTACTAATATAGGTAAAAGCTGTTAAGTACAAGTAAGGACTTGTAACATTCACAACAGGTTCCAAGACAAGAATAGAAATCTGTACTCAGTCTGGGGTACACTTATTTTCCAAAGGTATTCTTTACACTTGTCACTGATTCTGATGTCATTTATCACATGATGACATGATATTATATGAGAAGGACCATTCATCTAAATCTATACATAGCGTACAGATCAACAATGCTAGAGGAGTACCTCCACTCCTCTGTTAGTTTTCATAGCATGATGCTTAATTAAATAAGCATAGGGACAACTCTGCCTTTTAAATGACATTGCATAATTACTGGAATACAAATTTCCAGCTGCCTGTTTTCTATATATATAGAAGACATAAGTTCCTTACTGATTGTGACAAGCACAAGGCTGTGGTCTTCTTGGCCAAATCTTCCAAACAGAAGGGCTGACACTGTGTCAGGTGCTGTAATAGTATCCATCAATTGGCAGCCTGAGTAGAAGTTTACAGTGCCACCAGTAATGGCCACAGCAACAAGAGTGACACCTAGATGATGCAGGGGTACTGGTGTCACTGCTGTTGCGGCACTTGCCAGTTTAAGTTCCCATTGCTTCTTACCCTGGAGAGATTCATTTGGTTATTATGCAAACCAACATACCATACCAGTACTATGTGGGTTACTTCAAAAGTCATGGCAACATAATTTTTCCGAAATTTCGAAAGCTCCGACCAGAATTTCATAATTTGCTGCTGAGAGACAGCAACGTCTGATTTCTAATGATGCTGCTAGATGATGCAGAAGTCCAAGGACAACAAAGCGAGTCCAGCGCAAAAGTCAGTGTGATCATAGCCTTTGTTGAGAATGAATGTTAGCTGGCTGGAACAGCGTTGTTACGTGAGAATAGCAGTGCTTCACAGCAGAAATGCGACTGAATGTCACTCAGAGCTTGTGGAAGCTCTGGGTGATCGTGCTCTACCATACAGTACTGTTGCAAGGTGGATAGAAGCATTCCAACGTGGAAGAGACGCAAGTGCAGACTTGCAACGTAGTGGACGCCCTGTGTCCATATGATGGTATTTGCCGTCTTCCTCATTGCTGGCAGCGAGTACTTGATACACTTGGAGACTACTTTGAAGGTTGCTAGTCGTAATGTAAGAATTCAAATTTAACTCACATTGAATTTTTCGAGGATTAAAGAATGAAAAAAAACAGTCATTCCGTAACATGCATTTTTTCTTGCCTACTATACCTATGCCCCTTCACATCTACCTGATCTGACTAAGCCAATCAGAGGGGTATATTATGCCCTTTCATAAGTATATTTTGAACTTTCTTCACTGTAACATGTTTGCCCCCAAAAAATTAGTTGCCATGACTTTTGAAGTAACCCACGTATATGCCCAATATAAGATTCTTACACTTCATACATGGTGCAGTTGTGTGGCATTTAAGTACAGGAGGCTGTATGGCATTATATTGTGGCATATTGGCTCTATGCAGGAACTGTTGAGCCACAGAGGGCTTAGGGCACACGTGCAATGTGAGAGTTGCGAATTGTATTGGCGCGTTGCTAGGCGACAACTCTGTGAACGCTTGGATTGCACAACAGGAAGTGCGAGTGACATCACATACCCCAATCATCCCATAACTATGCAACGCTCGGTAAACACCCCTCCCCGGTAGGCTGTTATGTCACACAACAGACAAGTCCAGCCGTGACATCCGCTCCCTTTTGAAGATTGTTCATCCTGAACAGCCTAACGGTTCTTCCTCTTGTTTGATGTTAATAATTACGTGACTTAAATGACTTATTTCCATGCACAATTTTTACTATCATCTATAATGTATATCTGTGGTATTCCTGTTTATTGGACACAAGATCATAGTTTTCACTGTCACTATATGTCTAATTCTAATAAAGAAAAATTTTGAAGTCTCTAATGATGGGAAATGCTGCAACAAGAGTTAAGAAATTGACCATGATATATTCAATTTGAAACCAATCAAATTATTATTTGTGCTTTCCAACAATTGTACAGTAACATAAGTTTCTTAACCTTCTTTGTGTAGCCATGGAAGGTTTCATTCATGAGTGCTGTAACAATGCTGCTGTTCTCGGGCAGTACCACCAGTGCAACTGCTTGAGCAGGAAGCTGCACCAGAATGCGAGCCTGGGTCCAGCCTCTACGAACCAGGTATATGCAACCATCACGACATGCTACAGCAACTCGGAATTCAACATCATAAAGTCCTGTTGCTACCAAATGGATGGGAGCTCCAACACATGTAGGATTCCCTTGTCCTCCGAGGTTCATCTGAAATAGCAAAACTATCAACAGATGTACTAGAAATTTGAGGTATGATGTCAGCATACTACACTATGAAGTTGACAGTAACCCTTTGCCACATTTAATGAAGCAGAATGTAGTAAAATTAAATACTGTCGGCTTCCTGTTGAACAGGTACTGGGGGCTATTTCCCAAGGGTAAAGTGGCTGGGGCATGAATCTGACTACTCACCTACATCTAGGGCCGAGGTCAAGAGTGGTGAAGCTATACCACCACTCCCCTATACATCATCATGGCATAGTGCTTAATTAATTAAGCACAGAGGCACCTTTACCTTTACCTGCCATGTTAGTCTTTTACTCTGAAGATGAAAGCAGTTTGTTCCTCTGAAATCTTGATACTGATCTGCTGGAAGATGTTAGCGTCATAATAAAATAATAATAATAATAATAATAATAATAATAATAATAATAA